AGCAGCTGCAGCCGCGTTCCCACTTTCTGTATAGTTCGTGCACGCCTGGATGTCCCGGGTGTGTGTGCGGCTTCGCAGCTGGCACCTCCCAGATCTTCTGGCACCGTGACGCTCCGGGATAAGTTGTGGCTTTATCGGTGTGATGGTTCAGTGCCGTCTGGTGTCTGAGCAAGTGACCAGCTCCAGCAGAGTGTTCTCCAGACTGTCCTCACTGACAGAGAGACAGTATTCATAAATACCTATATATTCTCCAAAATATTATTACCGACTTTGAAAAACACCAGTTAATTTCAGACAGAAAACTGAAACACTTGTATATTGATTTATTAGAATGAATTGGATTACTATCATGCCAAGGTGTTGTACATTACCTAAACATATTTGCAAAAATACATATATGCAAAGCTACAGGTTCAATGGAAACCCTTTATTTTTGTGAACATAATGGTTAAGTAGTTTAGTCTGCTTCTTTTCCTGGAAAGAAGTTCAGGAGTATCCTTGATATGCTCATCAAAGTTCAGTTACTGCGGAGGATGCTGCAACTGAATGGGAGGTGATAAACTGATTATTAAAGATTTTTCCAGCTGAGATGGAATTTAGTTTTCTCCCCTGTGAAAGAGGCTTTTGAAATTCCATTGACTTCTGATTGATCCTCTCTGTACCATTCTATGTGCAGGAAAAAAGAGTATTGGTCAGTATGACTTCACTCACAAGAGCAGATCTGAAGGAAGAGTTTCTGAGTTCTACTCTTTTAGCTAAAATAGCTGAAAATACAGCTGTGCTTTTTCTCCACCACTTTACTATTTAATGACTAGCCAGATGTTACAAATTTCTTTTTATCTTAGTAGAGACAAAGCCCTTAAACGAAAAGGCATCACACTTGCCTTTTTATTGTCCTTCTGTAGCTTGATTACAAATTTTGAAAGGAAGGGGGTTTTTTAGTATAAAACTGATTAATAAGATAAGTAGTTAACTGTTGCAAAACTGGATACTTAATTTCTCTTACTGTTTTTTCTTTTGAAGGCCTGACACAGAAACCAGCCAAAGTTCTCAATACAGTTTTGAATCGCTGCCCCAGAAGATCTGTCTCATCTGTGGTGATGAGGCTTCTGGCTGCCACTATGGAGTACTTACCTGTGGAAGCTGTAAAGTCTTCTTTAAAAGGGCGATGGAAGGTACGACACACATGATGCCTTTGTTCCTAATTATCTGAAATACATCTTTCTAGGCACTGCTAAGGACATTCTCTTTATTTACTGCTGATAGTTAAAAATATTCACTGTAGGCATGCTGGCAACTCTAAATATTACGGTGAATACTGACTGTATTCTTTCCTGGTTGATTGTGCCAGCGTTATTTGTTTTACTTTAAGTATTTGCTATTTGTTACTTACTGCTTATCAGTTAGTTTTTCTGAATAGGCAGAGTTTTATAAAAATCTTGTACATTACACAATTTGTTTTAAAAATTGTAAATGCTGTTGAGGGAAAAATTTTAGGAGTATAAACTAATTATAGATATGAATTTATTTTGGCTTCATTATCTTTCTGAAGTCATGGAATTTTTCTTGCTTACACGTTGCAGATTTTGGCTTTCTGAAAATTCTGGAAATATTTCAGGTTTCACTGAACAATTTCAACTCATAATAATACTAATAAATGGGTTTGACTTTTTTTTCCAAATAGCCGTTAAATTACAAAATGACACTGCAGGTGTAATAAATCAGTAGCAATACCTATATTTAGTTTTTCTTTTTGGATTATATTATATGCCTTGTCCACTGAGATTTTAAATAGGAATAGAAAAGCAGATTGCTTTTTATATTTCAACTGATGAAGCAGTAAACCAAATGCTTCCACATTAAAATGTGCTTTGCGTTTTATGATTTTTATCTGATCCAATCAAAACTAGGATATTCTGCTCCATATACTTGACAACACCATTGTTACAGTGTATAGGATTCCTTAAAATAAAAACAGAGCATCATTTTCTTGTTGTGATACATGGTTTATTCAACTTTATAGAGTGTTACTATTCAAATGAAAAGGGGAATATTGGAAAATTAAAAGCTTAGTAGAATAATGTAGGTAGAGAGCTTCTGTTTCAGTGTGCTATTACTTTCTACTTTGAAAATATGTGCATGTTCTGCCCTTAACATCCTAGATACTTGTAAAATGGTAGCACTGGGCTAGGTGGGCAAGGTAAATATTTGAGCTGGTGCTATTTTCTTTGATACATTTAATGGGATCCATGAGAAAGCCATTAGAAACATCCGTGGTAAGCTGCAAGGAAAACACTTGGCTCTTAAGTCACTTAAAGGAATACATTTAAGTTTCACTGACTGCTAACTGGGCTCTTCGTCTGGTTTCACTTTTTTGCTGTGCTTGTTTTGGAGAATCAGCAATATATTTTTAAAAAAGTCAGGGAGCTGAAGTTTTAAGAATGAGTGTAGTGTAATTTATCGGTGCCATATTTTAAAATAAGTTCTATTATTCACTTTCCACCTATAGAGTAGCATTTTAATTTTTTATTTGAATTTGATTCTGTCACTTCTGAATTCCGTCTCATTCCTATACTAGTATCGAACTGTGCTTGTGCAGTAGGTGAACCTGCTCAAAACCATTTTATTAATGTTCAGCATAAATATTTTAATGATCGATGTTAAAGAGGCGTGTAAGTTGGTAGTAGGAATATCTTAAAGTTGATGTCACTGATTATTGAATCAAAATCTGTATTTGCAGAATTTTACCAGATTAAGAATATAGACATACAGAGAATTAAGAGGTTAACACAGTTCCACAAACGAAAGGCTTATTTTTTACATAGCAAGTTCATACTTTGAATTTTTAAATAATTCCAAAGGCTGAGGGTGTGGTGAGGAAGTGTGTTTGGGTTTTTTAGTAAGAATATTCAAAGAATGGACAACTATCTCAGAAACCTGACTTGAATAAGACAAAATGCAGGTTATTGAGTCTTATGGGAAGGACTGACAGACATGAACAGTGTGGCCATGCACAAGATGAACAAATGGTGTTACCTGTTTTTTTTGTACAAAGTGCAAGTCTACAGAGAGTTCCTTAAAGAGATGGACTTCCTATTTTGGTGGAAGCATAGGATATAATTGCTAGCATTGAAATAATCCCATCTATGGATAGTTATTTAATTTAATTTAAAGTACTCTTTTATTTCTTATCATAAATAAAGGTGACAAATTACTCCTCTGTAAGAAGAAACAATATTTTTATTGTAAATGCAACAGGAAATATGTTTAAAAATTCACAGTAGCAACTGTATAAATTTGAGACATTTTTCTTATGTAAAATGTCCTCCGGCCCATTATTTGTTTGAGTGGGAATGCATTATTTACCTTTTTAAACTTTTAGTACTACTATAAACATGAGGTTTTAAAATAATAATTATTGCAAATAATGTTAAATTTTGTGAGTGCAAAAATACAATCATTACTTTTCATATACTTTCCATAAAGTACTGATGAGTATGAGAAATTAAAGCATGACTGGAAATAGGTGGCATTTCTACTTCATGGATTTTGTGCCTTTTGAGATCTTTTTTGTATGTTACAAGATTTTTCAAGTGTGTAGATAAGTTACTTCATATAGTGGTATTAAATTTGTTGGAAAAATGTTTATTATATATTTTAAGTATTTCTCTAATCTCAGATATGTTGACTATTTAAAATCTAATAGCTTATGTAATTTTTCCACAGATATTGTCCTATTCATACACCATTTATTTTACTCTCCCTTAATGTGTGGAAAACACTCTGTTAGTTAAATGCTTCCTTTGGGACATAATGGAATATTTAAAACGCATGTAGATGTGGTGCTGAAGGACATGGTTTAGTGGTGGACTTGGCAGTGCTGGGTTAATGGTTGGACCTGATGATCTTAAAGGTCTTTTCCAACCTAAACATTTCTGTGTTTCCATGATTTAATACATTTGACTGTAACTAGTAGTAACACACACAGCTTAACAGGGGGTCAGAACTGTGTGAGGATCTTTAGGGTGAAAGTGTGGGTGGAGAATTTAAAGCCAAGTTCTTAAATATATATGACTTGGTAGATATTTTCTGTCTTTTGGGTTCTTGGATCCTCATGTGTGCTATATATGCAAAGAAAACAATGGTGTTAATGCAATAAGCATATTTTACTCTAAGTAGGATCCTGAATTAGATTGAACAAAAATGCAAGTCCTTTTAGGGAAAATTGTAGTACACCAGATAAGAAAAAGAGATGATAGTGATGGAAGTGGGGGAGGAGAAAAGGGACAAAGAGACTTTTTTTTCCTTTAGGAAACACTTATTTACATTTAGAGGTGATACATTTTCTGTTGGTCCCTTACAAAGAACTGATTTACTAGTCAAACGATTTGCTTAATGTACAAATAAATTGCAAGGTTTTTAAAAAATCCTTTGAAGATCTCCTTTGGGTATAATGAAAATTATAGAAGTTACTGTTATTTATGTTCAGTTAACATATTTGAAAAGAGAAAATTGGATTCAGGAGGCTGATGGGGTAGTGCCATTCCTGCCAGTGAGCAGAGTGATGAGCAGTTTGGAGTTAACAATCAAACATAAATTAGAAAAAATATTTAAAATACTTTCAAATATGTAAAACTCCTATATTTTCAAGATAATTTTCTGTTGCTAATCAAGTGTTATTTAAGTGCTACCAATATATCGTGTTCATGATAAAAAAAACAGGGAGTAATATTTCTAACTGGGCTATAGCAGAATCAAGATTAAGTCATGAACTCTTTTAGCACAAAATTGTCAGTCATCAGTGATGTTTTATAAAGCTACTTTCCTGTGAAACCATGCAGGGCAACTATGATCAATTGCTTGGGTAACACCAGGGTAAAATTTCTGCCCTGAACAGGAACCCAGCATGTAGCATTTTGGGGTTCTGGAGTTACGCTATTGCTAACATGACCTTTCTTGGTGGCCTGTATTCTTGCCTTTTTGATGAAAGTGTCTCCTTTACATTAGTTTACTAATAAAAAACTTAAATTACCTAGCTCCTGAAAAAAATTTCAAGTGCTATGTTTCATATATACAGTCCCACTTCTCATTTGTTCTATATTTACATATGCACTGTGTTTATGTTATTGACATCTAATGAATAGTAGCTGTCCAAACCGAAGAGTTTGAGGCCAGCATGAATATGTGATATTATAGCAGTGTTTTGACAATGACCAGGCCCAACAAAAATGATAGCACCAGCAGGAAGATGAACCAATACACAGACTGTATTGTAGACAAAAAAGTTAGAATATGAATGACTGCCGGGGGTACAAAGAGGTCAACAAGCTCAGACATGATTGATGCCACCCCCAACGAGCCCACAAATGACATGACTCGGCCCACAACAGGTAGTACAAACAGAGACCCGAGGTTGCCCACAGTTGGCATGGGCAACAGCCAGACCAGCAAGCTGAACACATAAGAGAAAGGTGACCACATAGTGACTCTCTCCTGATCCTGCCACGTTCACGTGAGCAGACCGGGGCTCAGCTCCAGGGAGAGTCAGGAGGTCTGCCCTGAACCAGGAAGCTCTGTGGAGTCCACTCCACAGACAGACACTCCTGACTCCCTGCAAGTGGTCCCAGCTTTTATCCCCAAGCAGACACCTGACCTTTGTCAACTCAGTGCGGGACCCCTGGGGCTCATTTCCCTTATGGCTCTCCCTGCAGGGCCGGCCGCACCCTGGGGGGAAGCTATAAGGCAAACTCACCACCTCTGTATGAAGGGCTGTGGGAATCACCCATATGTCAACCTTAATTTGGGGGCTCGGCGTTCAGACCCCAGCATTTCAAGCAGATGGGTCAGAAGCTAACTCCTGATTTGTTTAAATACCTGGGACCCTATTACAAAAGTGATCAAATGATTGTATAGCAGATTAAGCTATGTCTAGTTTTAGTATGTGCATCAAGCTCAGGGGAACAGCTCTGTGCAGATGATAGCGCCAGGGAACGAGCTCAACAGTATGTAGCAGATGACATTTAACTGACAAAGTGAGTGTGAACTTCTCTCCAAGACCTGGATCTGGCAAACTCTGCCTGACGGGAAGTAGGATTTCCACAAGAGTTTCCACTGTCTGTATATGAAGAGGTACTGGGGTGGGAAGTGGGGGAATTAAAGATGAGCTATGTGTACA